TTGCGGAAGGTGTGGGCTTTTGGTGACTTTTTGACTTTAAGGCGACCTATTGACTTCAGGGCGACTTTTTGGCTGAGTAATTGACTGTCTTGGGCCCTAAGGTACAACTTTTGACTCTGCAGTGAGAGGCACTGCACTGTGTCGCCTTGATGTGGTGATGCATGGCGGTGGAAACGGGCGTCGTTAGGCCCGTAATGAAGCGGAAAAGATGAAGGAAAGCGAGTGCCTCCCCGCCACCCCGCCCCGCCTCGCGCCGTCCCAGAAGTCCAGACCATTTTTTTCCGGAGGCCAGCGGGGAGCGGACGGCGGCTGAGGTCCAGCTCCACATGTCCGCCCCCGCGCGGCTCCTGGAAGCCTTTGTTGGCCGCTGGCGTGCCGTGCACCGAGAAGTACACAGCCAGCCTGCAGCAGAGCGGCCCGCCAGCCAGGCTGCCTACCCGCGGCTGTGAGCAACGACAGGGCCTCGATTGAGACGAAGACCAAGACCGAAACTGGAGCCGGAACCAACGCGGCGGCCTTTACCCCGCCTAGTCCTTCTTGATGGCGGGACGGACCGGGCAGCCCGGGGGCGTGCACCGCACCGGGCACGGGTCAGGCGATTTGTTTATGGCTAATGAGTGACCGAGACGAAACAGTGAGCTAGGCCTGGCCGGGTCGGCCCGGCCGGGCCGGGCCTCAGGGTTCTGTTCGTTTACAGCTACGACTCAATCCCGAACGGAAACTAAAGGCACTCAGAGAAAGCATGGATATTGGGAGGGACCTGAGTGCCGGCCGCCGTCACGGGGGCGTGGAATGTGCTCAGCGGCCCCGCGACTCGGCGGACGACGCACCGTGTACCCGGGCCCCCGCGGCCCCCGCGGCCCCATCTCGGGCAAGTACAACAGCCTTTGAGACGGTGCCAAAAAGCGAGAACCGCCGCGCCGCCATCGGGAGGCGAACCCGCGCGCAGCTCAGCCACCATAACGACGCATGCTTTCGGCGCCACGCACAGCGCGTTGCGCTGCTGGCCCAGCGTCGCCCCAAAGGGTCCGTCTGTCTCGCTGTCAGGGCGCCGCCGCGGGCACCGCGGCCAGCAGGCTGGCTCCGAACGGCGACACTTCGCCGTCGTCTCTCTCGCGCCCCTGCGGAGCGCCCCATGAGAGGCGGCGATGGAGCGCTGTTCGGACGCAGCCCGCAGGCGGGACGGACGACAAGAAGAAGGGCGTTCGGAATGTTGGCACTCCTGAATATTGATGCGCGGCCGGACTGGCGCGGTGCCGCGTTAGAAAGTTGAACACGGCCGTCGTGTGTCTCGGACGCAGCTCGGAGGGCGCTGCTGCCGCTGCCACCGTGCACACACAGAATATATTAGGGGACTCTCCGCCCTCCGCCCCGCGAGGCCCGCGCCCAGTCACCTTCTGTATTCAAATCGCCCGCCCAGAGACAATGCGGTGTCGTTGTTGTTGTTTTTGTTTTTCACTGTGACTGCGCGCCGCCGCGCCGCCGCATACCATTCCGGCGCGTTTATGTTGGCGTTACTGGCGCGGTCCGAGGGGCCGTCAAGCCGGCAGAACGCGGCAATTTAAAAACGACTCCGGCAGACAGATTACCGCCGCCTCACTTTCTTTGTGAGAAACTCAAAACTGAAGCACACAATAATAAACACTTCGCTTTGGAGAATTTTCCACGCGGAGCCGCAAAAAAATGTGTGCGGCCTCTTTTTTTCTGATTCCCAGTTTACGGTCCCCGCGTAATTAAACCCCTCGAGGTCCAGGACGGTCCAGGATCGGAGCGGCCACTGCGGCGGGGCCTTGGCCAGGCCTTGGCTGGAACGAGCAAGAACTGCACGCCGAACGCGGCCTGCCGTGGCGCGGCGTGGCGGCCGGGGCACACATCAGAATCAGAGACGCAGGCGAACGCGGAAGGCGCTCAAGTTCGGATCGACGTCGCCGTCGACCAGCAGGACCAGGGAGTGGATGTCATTCCTCCGCGCACTTCTGCCCCGCGGGATTGTTGCTGCTTCGTGCGCAAGGCTGGTCTTCGAAAGCCATCCCGGTGCTCCGTCCCACCCCACCCCCGCCCCGCCCCGCCCCGCCCGCCCGCCCCGCCCCGCCCCGCCCCCGCCCCGCCCCGCCCCTCAGCGTGCCGCATGCCTGTGTGGCTTAGGCGCGGCTTAGCTCTTCCCGGCTCGGCTTGGCATTCTTTCCGCGAGCGCTGCCCGCTGCAGGTGCAGTTGGCCGCGATTGAGTCTGCCCCTGTTGAACACACCGAGCGCTAGCCGGGGCCACATCGCCACGCTAGAGTCCTACGAGGAGTTCCAGTGTCGGAGGCTGCCGACGACGCCCCTCGGCGAGACGCGGCTCTCCGCCGTGGCTGGTCGCTGGTTCGAATCCCGTCCGTCGTTTTTTGCGGCGTCCGGCCTGGAGCCTGGAACACGCCGCGGCGCGTGTAGCTCCCCGTCCCCCGGCCCCTCCAGAGGTTCCTCCTCCCCGCCGGCGTGTAGTGCCTCTCGCCGCGTTCGCCGCTCGCCTCTCCTTCTTGTTGCCGCCGGCCGGCCGGTCGGGCTGCTCGCCGAGCTTGCGGAGCTCGCCGTGTTTTTGCGTGCCTTCATCGCGCTGCCGAGAGTCGACTCGGCACTCTCGGTCTCGGGGAACGCCGGCAACGGCCACTCAATACCGTTCTCGCCGCGCTGGCCTCGGGGCCCCGCAGCACACTCCCATTGCGCCGTCGCTCTGTCTCTCTCGCGATCACGGGTCGTGTCGAAGTGGTGCGAGAGAGGCAGTGTAGCCGCGCCGCCGTCCCGGTGACCGTGCTCTCCGCCAAACGGCCAAACCGACACCGCCCCGGTAATCCGCCCCGATTGCCGAAGGGCCCAAGGGCTGCCCAGGGCTGCCACTGCACTGCTGGCCCCGCCTCCGCCCTCACAGGTGCGCTACACTGCTTGACGCTGCTTGCCCCTCGGCTTGCCCCTCGGCTTGCCCCTCGGCTTGCCCCGCTTGCCCCGCCCGGTAGCACGGCCCGCCATCTGCCTAATGCACACGGCCGAGTCCCGTCGCTCCGTCCCTCTCGCACCGAAACGGGGCACCCCGTGAGTGCGAGAGAGATCTCCGGCCCGCAGACCAATCAAGCGGCCCCATCGATCAACGGGCAGGTGCGAACAGCAGACTGATTCCGAGTGTCGTTCTCGTCGCTGCCCCTCTCGCACCCACACGGGGCGACCCGCGAGTGCGAGAGAGACAGAGCGACGGAAACGACTCTCGGAACGAGCCTGCAGGCTGCATGCAGCGCGAACCCACGGGAGCCGTGCGAGGGTGGACAGGCTGGACAGGCCGGACAGGCAGCCACGGCAGCGCACGCCTTGAGGTGGGCGCGGGGCGCGGGGCGTGACAAGCCGGCGGGCCGCGTGCTCTCATCGCTCTGTCTCTCTCACACTCCCACGGCGTTCCGCGGATGCGAGAGAGACGGAACACTGTTTCGGAATCCAACTTGGAAGGCGCGCGTCCCGCCGGAGCGAGACTGGAGACGGAGACTCCAGCGGACATGACAGACCGGCCGGCCGCGGCCCAGGCTGGGCCCAGGTGCAGTGTACGTGAGCAGCTACCAGAGCCAGGCCGTGGCGGGGCGGGGGGCGGCCTCATGGCATGCCCAGTGGACTGATTCCGAGAGTCGTTTGCGTCGCTCTGTCTCTCTCGCTTCTGTGAGGTGCCCCGCCCCTGGAGTGTGAGAGAGACAGCGACGAAACAACCCTCGGAATCGGTCAGCAGGCGCTCGGCCAGGCAAAAGGGCGGCCGGCGCATCGCACCGCCAGGCACGAACCGCGTGGAGTAACGTGGTCGCGACTTTCGGTGGCGTTTCAAAGGAATGGAAATTATTTTATGAAACAACAAAGGACGATGCTTGGACTGGGACGTCTCGGACGCCGATCTCTGGTGTTCAAATTTGGGTGCGGCTACGGCGTGTCCCTACAGCGTCAAGAAATTGGCTGCCGCGAGGGAATGACTGTCGTCGAAGGGCCGCCACGGCTGAGAGCACGGCGGCCTCCTCCCCGAACCCTGGGGACCGGCGTTCAAATACCAGCATCATGTTTTTAATTATTGTTTCCAATTATTTTTTTCAAGGCGTGGGCCGCAGGGCGCACCGTCATTATGAGGACCACGCCGAGGCATGGCCGAGGCGGAGGACGCGCTGGCTTCCAGGGAATCACAATACGCTGGACGTGTTCAGGTATTCGTTGGCCTCCGTGGCCAGGCAGCGCGGGGAGGCCGCCAGGGCCGCCAGGGCCGCCACACGCACACGCCCAGAGAAACGGGCGACACGAACGTGACTGTCACAAACGCCGCGCCCGCTTGTACGCCGTCCGTGCGCCGTGCGGGCCGTACGCGGGTGGGCAGTCGCAACACCTCACGTCCACGTCGGCGTCGGCCTGCCTGGCCTGGCCGGGAACAGCGAGGCCGCGCGACCGCCTCGGAATGCCAAAGCGCTAAACGAGGCTCGGCGTCGCGGTTCTCTGGAGGACACTGGCGCCGGCTGAGGACACTGTTTCCGACGGTGCTCCTCATCGCGCTGTCTCTCTCGCACCCGTTCGGGTTGCCCCATGCGTGCGAGAGAGACAGCGCTGGGTGGCAAGATGGCAGGGGCGCCGTCGCCGCCGAGGGTGCGCTCCAGTCTCCAATCGGGCGCCGCGTTGCCGCGTTCACCGTGCGCACCCGAGTGAATCCAAGCCCACCGGCATGCCAAATTCGATGGAAAGAGCGGCTGGCGGCTCGGCCTGGGGGCTGTCGGCCTGGCTGCCAGCCCTGCCAGCCTGGCTGCGCGGCAGTTTCCCACTCGGCCGGCCAGGCGGGCGCAAGGGGGCCCAGCGGGGCGCAGGGGCTTCGAGTTACGGCGCCATTCCAGGTGATTCCAGGCTTGAGGCCCGGCGGCCCGGCCGAAACAGACAGAGACAGCACCTGCGGGGCGAGCATGGCGGAGCATGGCGGAGCATGCACCGAAGACAAGTAACCTGAGAGAAGTGCACCTACCTGTGGTCCCGGAGGTGGTCCTGGCGGCGGAACGCCTTGCCGCAGATGTCGCACGAGTAGGGCCGCTCGTCCGTGTGCGTGCGCTCGTGGATCAGCAGGTTGTAGGACTTGGTGAACTGGCGGTTGCAGAACTTGCAGATGAACTGCTTCTTGGGGCGGGACGCCCTGCCCGGCGCGCGCAGCAGCCGCCTGTCGAGGCCGTGGCCGTGGCCGGCGCCGGGGAACAGCGCCCCCGCCGGGTACTGGAAGCCTGGCGGCGCCCCGGGCGGGAACGAGTAGGGGTGCGGCCCGGGGGCGGCGTCCAGCATGCCGGGCGGCGGCGGCGCGCGGTGGGGCGGCAGCAGCATGGCGGCGGACAGCGCGGCGGCCTCGCACAGCGCCAGCTCCTTGCGCTTGTCCGCCATGAGCGCCATCAGGTCGAAGCTCCTCTTCCTGCCGGCCGGCTCCTCGCCGCTGCCGCCGGGACTGCCGCTGCCCGCGCTGCCCGCCGTCGCGGCCGCCTTGTCCGCCGCCATGGCCGAGGTGGTGGCCGCGCCCAGGGCGTTGGAGCCCAGCGCGTTGGAGCCGCCGGCGTACGGCATGTGCAGCGCGCGGGACGGCACGACGGGCACGAAGGCGGACGTCTGCGCCGCCACCAGGCCGCCCATGGAGCCGCCCATGGCGCCGTGGCCCATGGCCGCCATGTGGTACGCCATGAAGCGGCCGCCCGAGGAGCCCGCCGCGCCGCCCTGGCCGCCCTGGCCGCCGCCCGGCGACCGGCCCGCCGAGCCGTCCCGCGACACGGAGCGCGGCATGGACAGGTCGCGAGGGGGCGGCGCTACCAGCACGCCCCCCGCGCCGCCGCCGCCTTCCCCTCCCCCGCTGGTCGGCATGGTGACCGCGCCCTGCAACAGACAAGGACAGAACAACATGAGGTCAGGACTGGTCAAGACCACCCGGAAAGGGGGCAGTCGTAAAGGCAGCAGGACGCGTGGAAAACCTTCGCTCCGGTTCAAGGTTCTAGACTGCACTTTCAACAAAGGGCTGAACCTGGATCACGGTGCATTGAAAGCAAACGCCACGACCCATTTTTTGCAGACCACTTCGTTCGGGACTTCGAGACAGGGGCAGTCTGGGCAGACGCAGTGAGCCCTTTCAAATTATGCATTGCCAGTCGTTAAGCAGCCGACGCCACGGAGACGAGGGTATAAAAGCAGAGTGCCCGCGGCTCGCACGCCCCACCCTGCTCCTCCACCTGCTTCATATTTGATGATATTGACACTTTGGGCTGCGGGCTGCGCCATGGCTGCGCCGGACAGCCGGAGCGGCACGGCCCATAAATAATGGTGAATATAAAAGCCGGTGCCGGGGCGCGCGGGGCAGGGCGCTCGTTTCAATTACAGCCTCATTCAATCCAATACATTTTCCACTTCCGTCCGCGCGTTCGGCAGGCCCGTCGTTCGCGCGGCGGCCACTCCGGCGACGCTCCGCTGCAGTGTGTGTCCAGGCTTCCAAGCGGCCCGCGCCACCCGCGGGGACCGGACTCTCCAGCGGCCAAGCAGCTAGCCGCGAAGAATAAACCTGTCGGGCCGGGACTTCCCTGCGAGCTTCCCTGCGGTCTACAGGACTCGCAGACGGGCCGACGGCGGGAAATTCATTTTCTTCCCAATCAGCAGCGCAGCCGCACTGAAAGCCCGCGGGTCGGCGAGCCGCATCGCCTTGCGAGCGATTCCCCTCGCTGTTTCTCTCGCACTCGCACGGCGCACCAGGAGTGCGAGGGAGACAGCCTGCGGACGCTGCTGCCGTCGCATTGGCCGCTGCCACCGGCTGCGAGATGCTGCTCTTATATAGCGGGACCGGCCGCGGCGGCACCGCGCGCTGCAGTTGGCAACACTGCAGGTGGATGCGGCCGCCGGTTGGCAGCCTTGCGCCTGCTTGCCGCGCTGCTGTGGTTGGCAGCCCTGCGCCCCCAGGCTGGGGGCCCCCTGGGCCCAGCAGGCCGTGCGCCGTGCTTGCCCGTCGAGGACCGCCGGGGACCGCCGGGGACTCGCAGGAGTCACATCACTGACAAATAGTCGCCCCGTTCGTCCGTCCGGGTGGAGCCAGCCAGTCGGCCAGCCAGTCGGCCAGCCAGCCGGCTAAACGGCCCAGAGATACGATGCTTATCTCGCTATCGGGGTTCAGATCGGCTGCAGCGACACGGCCACCCCACCTCATTAGGCTAGGGAAGTCCGAACCGGACCCGCAGTGCAGCCAGGGGACCCGAAGAGAGCCTCGAAGAGGGACCCGAAGAGGGACCCGAAGAGCGACCCGAACCCCCGCCAAGATTCGGTCGCGACACCATCACGCGTAGCGACGCAGGCGAGACGCAGGCGACAGCGCGCGCTTTTGGACACGGCGCCCATTCCTCTGGCTTCCTAGTGTAGGGGGCGCGCTTTGCGGACTCAGCGACACAGAAGCGCCAGGACAGCAGGCAGGAACAAGGGAAGCCCATGCTGTGGCTGCCAGGCCTAAGGCCAGGCCGGGCCGCCTCGCCAGAAAGCATTTCGGCAGAGGGGGTGCACTGTTACCAGATTGCTCTGTGTTCGGCCCGTGTTCGGCCGGGGACTTCCGGACGGCAGCGGACAGCACAGGTGGGGGGCCGAGTGGGGACGAGTTGGCGGGCCGATATTCGATCCGAACACAGCCGGGGCAGGCAGGCAGGCAGGCAGGCAGGCGCAGGGCGCGCTTGGCCAAAAGGATTATAAAACGAACGCAGAACGCAGAATGGCTCCCTGCTGACACCGGCTGGGGCTGGGGCGACGGCCGCTTCGGGTTCCGCAGATGAGCTTTTCAGTTTTCAAGCCGAAGTTGACAGAGTGAAAACAGTTGTACTAAACAGCGGTAGTGCTGCTGATATTGGTCGTTTAATTTAAGATGTCACATTCACTTGAACATGGCCCCATACTCAAACAAAAGTGACAAAATTCCAACAAACATGACGCCACATTCGTTGAATAACAGTGTGGCCGCGGTTGGCGCCTGGGCCCTGCCGGCCGCCGCCCTGCCGCCCTGCCGCCCTGCCCCTGCGCTGGCGGCTTCTAGTTTCGACTGCATCCTTGTCAACACCTGATCCGGCCGACGAGTCCACGGTAGTCCCGGGAGTCGCGCTGACGCACTAGTAGCACAGTGTAGCGCGCAGCAGCGAGGTGGCGCCCCTGGCGCCCACGGGAGTGACGGACCTCATCGTGTGTAATTTCGATCCCTAGACGATCGGGTTAGCCTCGCGCGCCGCGCCAATAATAACACAACAATCGATCTCGGCGAAACTCGAAACTCGAAGCTCGAAGCTCGAGCCGGATGACGGCGAGACGGGCGCTGCGTTGGCGCCGGCGACTGATTCCGAAGAGTGGTTTCGCCGCTGCCGTACTCTCTCGCTCTCGCGGGGCGTCGCGGAGGGGTGCGAGAGAGACGAGACGACTCAGCCGGCGCCCTGTGTGGCTTCATTGTGTATCCTCAGATCCCCGCGATAGCTGCGATAGCTGCGATAGCGCAGACACGTTTGCGTTTGCATAATTAGCAGTGGAGGGGCTCCAGCCAACTACCGCCTTCCGTTGCGTAGCGGCGCGGCGTGGCAGCGCGGCGTGGCCCGCCGGGTCACCCGCCCGCGCGCGGGGTCGTCCCGGAGCCAGGTGGCATTTCCGACAAGCCGAAAACACACGACTTTCAACAACGTTTCCTGGCATCGATCTGAGCACTGCAGGCAAGCTGATTCCGAACAGGACTTGGTCGCTCTGTCTCTCTCGCACTCGTGGCGAGGCTCGCGGGGCTGCGAGAGAGACAGAGCGACGGAATGAGCCTGCCGGGTACCCGAAGCCCGGAGCCCTGCCTGGCGCAGCGGCCACCACAGCCCTTTAGCCCTTTACTCCCTGCGCGCGGGCCGACCGCAGGGCCGCAGGGCCGCAGGGCCGCAGGGCTCGCCTCGCCGGCCGGGGACCTAAACGCTGGAGGGGGGCGAGAGCGCCCGGACGGCCTTACCTTAGGGGACGCCGGGTGCGGGGAGGGGGAGGGGGGCAGTGAGGGGGCGACCGCAGGATCACAGGACGATACGGCGTCCTTGATTCGAGGCACGGCAAGCACCCAGGCCAGCCGGCCAGACCAGCCCGCCAGCCTCTCAGGTACTCTCGCACAGGGCGAACGAGCCCGCCGCGCCACGACGGCAACACGCTGTACAGGAGTACACTGCGCGGGCAAGCGTGGATCCAGAAACCTGGCCCACCCACCAACCCTATGGTCTCGAAAGTACCACCTGAAAGGTAGGCAAAAAGCCGCACAGTAGGCAAGAAGTGCTACTCCGGGCCTCTGTGCACATAGACAGGAGCACACTGTACAGTGGACTCTAGTGTCCTGGAGAAGCCCGACAGAAGTACGTCGACAGCAAGGCAGGAGTGGTCTTCCTAGAAGCAGGCCTTGCGTCGCCTCGCGTCGCCTCGCGTCCAGTGGAAGTGACACCCAAACCGCTCTTTTCCACGTCGTTGCGTGTTTCTCCTCGGTCGCGCCGCCTCCTAAAAAATACCCGCCGCACCATTTTGTGAGCATATTTTTATTTTCGGAGTTGGTCCTGCTTTACTGGCACACTGCAGTGTGGGGCGGTGGCGGCACCACCAGCCCCGAGATCTGGGTCCTCGCCGAGGGCTCCGCCTCGCCCCCACGGCCCCGGGGCACGGCCGGGGCGGACCTCCGCCTGCACGGCCTGCACGGCCAGCAACATGCATTATACGCTGCAGCAAGAGGGGCGACCTCCCGATCCGGCCGGGCCGGGCGTGGCGGCGGGCGGCTGCATGTTCTGTACGGCCAGCACACATTCTAAACACGCGCCGCCCCGCCTCGCCCCGCCTCGCCCCGCCTCGCCCTGCAATGCAGACCCCGACGACCGTTTCGCAACAGGGGAACGGGATCCCCCCCCTCCCCATTTCCAGTGGAGAGGTGCGCGTCCCGCGTCCCGCCCGAAAAGAGTCCCAGCGGCTCCCCGCGGCGTCCGGACGCCTGCGCGGCAGGCGATAGGCAACCGGGGTGCATGCGCGCGTGGCGGGTTTGCCTACCCTCGCGCCGCGTCTCCAGTCGAAGACACCCCAGGCTCTCCAGGCACTCCAGGCACAAAGGACGCTGCAGGGTCAAGCTCTTTGAACGCCAGACGTGCGCGGGCCGAACCCGCGGTGAACAACGTTTCCTCGAGGCCCCCTCCCCCTTGCTCGCCCTTGCTGCACTCGGAGTGCGCGCACGACCACAGGGACCGCGACCGCGAAACCATCGACCTATGTTGCCGCCGCTGCAGCAGCAACAATAACAAAAAGAAACAACAACACGAACAACAGCAACTGCAGGGCTCGCGGGGCGCAGCGGCGCAGCGGCACAGCCAGGATGCAGCGCAGCAAAAAAACAACAGCACACACGGCGGCGGCGACCGCGCCGACCCGGCTCGGCTCGGCACACTCGGTTCGGCTCGGCTCGGCTCGGCTTGGCTCGGCTCGGCTCGGCTCGGCTCGGCTGAGCACGGTTTGCCTTAGCTTGGCTCGGCTGAGCTCGGCTCAGCTTCCCGCTGATGCTGCCTTTAATTGAAATTCCTTGTAAATGCATTTCCAGGGAAGCGATTGCATGTTGCCTCATGCGCGGCACGGCCGGCACGGGGCGATATGCGCAGGACGCGGGGAAATGGCGGAGCGTTATTGACAGAGCGGCCGCCTCGCCCAGGTGCATCCCAGCCTTCATCGCCAGGAGGAGACTCTCTGCCTCGCGAATCTCGCTAGGCTCGCCGAATGCGAACCGAGCTTCCGTCGCTCTGTCTCTTTCGCACCCCAACGAAGGCCCCTGGCGCGAGAGAGACGGAGCGGACACTGCTCGGCACCAGGACGACGTGCTCCTCGCGCTTCCAGCGGTAGCGGCGGCTCGGCGCGGCGTGGCTCTTATCTGGCGTGACGGGTGACGAGCTGGGTGACGGCTGCAGATAAGGAAGCCAACTACCTGAATCGGGCAAGCGGCGGCAGCGGCCACTACCGTGGAAACGGTGGAAACATGACACGACGCAGACGCTGCTCTGTGCGTGAGTCGCCGCGTGGCGCACGGAAAAAAATAATTAGTTGGTGCAACCAATGTTTCGGTTGGTTTTGGCCCAACTAAGATTTTTTATTCCAATAACGAAAATTGCGTTCGACGAGCGAAAAATTTGTTAGAAGAGCGGAAAGTTCGTTGCAGCAGTGAATTCTTTGGTTGGCACGACCGAATTAAGAGTCGGCTACTGCAACGATCCAATTTGCTGCTGCAACGATGGATTCGTTGAGGCAACCAACTTTTCTGCTCTTCTGACGAAATTTTCGTTACTGGTACGGAACATCTTAGTTGGGCCAAAACCAACCGAAGCATCGGTTGCGCTAACCAAAATTTGGTTGGACTGACTAGGTATTTTTTTCCGTGCGCTGCCCGGGCCCCAGCCTCCCAATGCAATGCCGTTGGGAAGTTTCCTTCTGGCCTTCTGGCCCCGAATCGCCCCCTCAGAATGGCAAAATTGGGCATCCTGTAAGGCCCAGAAGGCCAAGTTGTGGCTCTCAAAACGGAGCGCCTCTGCTGGAGTGGCAAGCAAACTGACCATTGGAATTGCAGTGCTGGTGGGGCGTGCGGGACGCACCCCTGCGAGCGGCTCCCCTCCGTGACGTCACGACGCGCAGCGCGCAGCCACTGTACGGATTCCCTGCTTAGAGCCCCTGGCTGCCCCTGGCTGCCCTTTCGCCCTTTGAGCCTTCGGGCCGCGGCGTCGGTCGATACGGCCAGCCGGCCCGGCCGGGGCGAGGATGTGAGGGGCCGAGGTGTGAATGTAACCTTCTCGCGCCTCGCACGCACACCCCGTCCACCGTCGTCGCCGTCCTCGCCCCACAGTGTGCCGCCAGATGTCGCCACCGACGACGCACAGCTACTGCTATTTTCCTTGCGCAGCGCAGAGGCGTGTCTGTGTGTGTGTGTGCGCGCGCGCGCGCGCGTGTGTGTGTGCGTGTGTGTGTGTGTGTGTGCGTGTGCGTGTGTGCGTGCGTGTGCGCATGTGCATGTGTGTGTGAGCGGTTGGTTGGTTGGTTGTGGGTGTGCATGTGTGTGCGCGCGCGCTTTGAATCCCATTCAGCGGTTGGTCACTTTGCTGTGTGCCTGTCCCGAAGGAAGCCTTAATCCCCAAATCCCCATCCTATCCGTTTGGGTGAAATGGATGGCAGGCGAGACAGGACAGGAGGTCCGGAGCGGGCCGGCCGGCTGGCCGCTGAGCCAGAGCCAGCCCGACTCGGTTGGACCGTGCAGGGCCCGTGAATGGAGACACTAATTACAAAGAAGTAGCCCCCCCCCCCTGCGACACCTCACCTATGCACGCGGTGCACGCGGTGTGCCAGGGCAACGGCCAGGGACACAATGACGACCGCTAAGCAATTTTTCAAGACGCGGCTAATTTCATGATCCGCAAAAATAAAAGTTGACAGATCCCAGGGATGGGATGTTTCCACGGGTATGCATCATGGGGGCATGACAATTCTGGGAGAAAAGAAAAAGGGTGGCGTGTTGGGATGGGTGGCTGGATGGATGGGCACACACATCCACGCACACGCACGCACACATGCACACACACACACACATGCTCAAAAGGACGCAAGAGAGAAGAGGTATTTGACAAACACCGCGACGGGAGTGTTTGGGACCATAGCAGCGGCCTCTCTGCCCGTGATGTGCATGTGTGTGTGTGTGTGTGTGTGTGTCGTAGTGCCTGTCGTGTGTGCGTGTGAGTGTGTGTGTGTGTGTGTGTGTGTGCGCGCGCGTGTGTGTGTTGGTGTGCGTTCTGTTTGCACCGCCTTACCTGCGGGGCAGATAGGAGAAGCAGTCCGTCGTCGTCTTCAAGCCAGCGCGTTCGCGCTCATGGCTGCAGAGTCGGGCTGAGAAGTACTCCTCATGGACGCGAACGAAGCACTCACTTTGAACACTTTTTGCACCACTCACTGAACACACAGCGGCGCGTCACATGGCGCTCACACACTGCACTGCACTGTAATCCAATCCAAAGGCTTGGCCCTCGGCTTGGCCCCACTCACACACACGCACGCACACACATATGCACTCACGCGCGCACACTCCGGGAGCCGAACACGTACTGAAGGAAGCCCGGGCCGGGCGGCGCGGCAGCGGCGGCCCGGCAGGCAGGGGCAGGGGCCGGCAGGGCCCCGTCGGCCGTCGGGCACAGGTAAGAGGGGCGGGCGGGGCGGAGGGGCCGCGCCACTGCAACTGCTGCAGCAGCAGCGGTAGGACTCTCCGCCGCTCAGCACGGCAGTCACGGCAGCACCGGACCGGTGGCAGCGGCGGGGCGGGCTGCGGACCTGCGGGGCTGCGGACGGAGACCGGCCGACGGAGAGCGTCGCGGCCCGACCGGCGGCGCGAGAGAGACGCCCGCTGGGGCTTAGCGGCGTGGCGGGGGCAGCGGGGGGCGGCGGGGGGCGGCGGGGGGCGGCGGGGCCCCGACGCGGTAGCAGCGCGCGGGGGCCGCGGGGGCCGCGGGGGCAGCGGGGGTAGCGGGGGCTGCGGGGCGGGCAGGTGGCGGCGCGCCAGGCCCTACCGGCTCCGGTACTCCGGCCGAGGCTGGAGGACTCCGGGAGGAAAGCTTCGACTTCCCCAGCAGCCGCAGCAGCGCCACCGTCTGGACTGCCGACTCGCCTGGAAACACTTGGACCGCAAATGACGGCCTCATTGAATTCCCGCTGCGAGGATTTTGGAGACGAATGGGGGGAAGGGTGGGGAGTACAGTGCGAAAGTCTGCCCGCAGTGAAGCTCCGAAAAAAACCGACGCGGAGTTTTTCTGGATGCGAACTTGCTCAGTTCTTCTTTTCCCTGAATGCAGCCGATTGACCGGTCCAGGTGGGGAGCTGAGTCTCAGGCGGGGCTCCCACTGCACTGGCGAGCGGACTGCAAGAGGACGCGGACGACGTCCTGGACGAAGTCCTCGAGGAAGGGCCGCAAGGCAGAAGGGCACCCCGCTGGGCCCCGCGGGCAGCGAGGCTCCGCCGGGCTTCGAGGGAGGTGGCAGTGGCGTGGCGGCCCTCCGGCCCTTGAGGCAGGCGCCGGCCAGCCAGCCTGAGATAAGTATAGGTGCGGAGCCAGTTCCACTAATTGGGTGAACCCTTGGCTCGTAAACAGAAGCAGCAGAATTACCCCGGAAGGTAGCAGCAGCGCTCCGCTGCGCAGGGGAGGCGCTGCCTTGGCGCTGCTGGGGGAGCGGTCCCTCCTCGCCCCATCATTTGTTATTTCAGTCGGTAGCAGCGCGGTGCAGCGCAGCGCTATGCCCATGGAAGACATTCTTCACCAGGCGAGGCATAATGGGGCTTCTTAGGGAAAGCTGAGAAAATATGGAAAATGGACGAGAAGGAAGTATTTTTTGGAAACAAGTTTAGCATCCGAGGACTGTTGCGGTTTCGTGTAGCCCATAACGCTCTCCGGACAAACGGTTTAAAGTAAAAAGCGGTCAAAAAGTCGTTTTGTGTCCACGGCGAGTCGAGTTACCCTTATTGGAGCAAAGTCTCAGAAACTCGCGTGTATGTGTGTGTGATCGTGATGTGATGGCGTGTGTGTGTGTCCGTACCGTCTGCTGGTGGCGTGCGTCTGATCAGAGCCATAGCTTTCATATGCTAATCAATTGGCGGACCACATCAGCCACGCCACGCCGCCCCACGCAACGCGCCTCCGAGCCGCGCAGCCGCGCAGCCGCGCACGACAAGACGGTCTGCCACTGATTGCTGCCCTGCTGTCCTCCTGTTGTGTCTTTTGTTGTTGTTTGTGCCGCTGCTGTTGGTGTTGCTGTTGTTGCTGTTGATGATGATGATGACGGTGGGAGGTATTCTCCGCGCGTCAGGCCGCGCTGCCGTGGCGGGTTGACGGCACTGCCAATTACGCGAGTGCCGTACGTGTTTTATTATTCGCGTCGAACTTGTGGAGTGAAAGGGTCATACTGCAAAAAGGAATTAACATGACCGAGCGAGCAGGTGGGTCGAGGTAAAGGTGGGCCCTCGCGGAACCGCGCCCTTGTCAGCGAACAGGTGGATGACAATCGCCTGCACTTGCAGCAAAGCATTTTTTTGCGTTTCTCATTAAAACTTTTTAAAAATTTCATTTTTGTAGTATTTTTTACTTTTTGTTGTTGTTTTAAATTTTAATAGTTTTTTTTTGTGTGTGTGTGGGGGGGGGGTTAATGTTAATGTAATTTTTGGAGTCTGGTTGATTAGGTCACCACGCCCGACGAGTCACACTAGACTTTCCAAGGTTGAGGCGCCAGCGGCTCGGTGTCTTGCCTTATCACTTCTCACCTCGCGGCGTCGCAGCTCGCCGCGACACTTATTGGCACTTGCCTTCGGCCTGCCGTCCTTCGTCTTGGTGCGCTATTTGCAGCGCGACAACAACGCGACGCCGCGCCATGCGGGACATGCGGGCGGCTGGGTGCAGCCCGACCGCGGCCACCGCGGCCACCGCTCCCAGTGGCGACTTTGTAGTTGTGTCGTTTTTGCAGTGACTGTACCGCCCCGGGGATTGGCCATAGCGCGCCCGGCTGGAAACAGGTGAGAAAGAGATCTCAAGGATATAAAGCCCCACCGCGCCCCGCCCCACCCCGCCCGAGCCCCAGCCCCTCCCACTACTTTGCCAGGTCGTGATCACGAACGTGACCGGGCCGCGCCGCCGCTTTGGCTGCTGCTCGCCTTCTGGTTCGCCGTCTTCGGCGTCTTGGCCGCGCTGGAGAACGCCGTCTTGGTCGTGGTGCACAGCGAGTGTCACTGCCCTGCCGCGGCCTGCCCGGCCTGCCCGGCCCGGCCGGTACACTGGTACAGTCCGCTCCGCTCCCCCACCCAGGGCGCTGATGACGATCCCCGCCGCGATTATCCTCCGCGACGGCCCGGCCATGGCCTGGCGGCCTCATCCGTCGCTCTGCCTCTCTCGCACCGATACGCCACGGCCCTCGAGTGCGAGAGAGACAGAGCGACGACTCTCGGAATGAGTCTGCAGCCCAGCGAGCACACCCAGTCGCCTCGCGAAATTGCCCACTCCTCCATGAGCCCAGCCCGGCGTGTGCGCGCGGAGAGGGACATTTTCTCCGGGAAGAATGTTTCTCCGTTTACCGAAATTACACGCTGGATTTGCTGCCGGCGGCCGATCTGCGCGCCGGCCGATTGAACCGCATCCACTCGGAGTGAGACGGAGGAGGAGACACGGTAAACGAAAAATCCCGAATTCCGATCGAGTCGCCCAAGTGTATCCACTGTTCCTCGTTTTCAAAGAGACGGCTTGAACTTGGTGCACGAACGCGGGCAAGTCTCCAAAAAAAACGCGTCATTTGGAATCCGGAAATTTTCTTTTACCGTGAACGACTTTAGAGTTTCGCCGAGGAGGCAGTTACATAAGGCGGTTATGGTTTGGAGTATGTGAAGTGTACCAAAATGAAGCAGTGAGTAACCGCCCCCCTCGGGTATCAGCCCCAACAGCCAAACTCCGAAGATTTGAATGCGACTCGAATGACGCGCAGCGTGGGAACGCAACGCCCTCTACACGGCCCGGACGGCCTGGCCGCCGTCCAAGGCGTATTCATGAAGGCCGCGCGGTAGCGGCGGTAGCCCAAACGCTTTCGGGTGGCTTCCCCGCGCACCGGGGCGTGTCTGCCGGGCTTCCCAGTGCCCCGTCGTTCTGTCCCCCTCGCACCTTCACGCAGCGCCCTGTGAGTGTGTGCGAGAGACAGCCGGGAGGGCGACGTGCCTGCCAGAGTGGTGACGGATCCCCTCTCGCCTCCAAGCACGCGCGCCGCCACGCACCTCCTAGTGTGCTGGACTTGTTGTTTATCAGTGGAGCGACGCCGGGGTCCGGATTTTTCCTATTTTTCCCGTCGATCCACTGGCTAAGGATTCATGATGTCTGGGAGCGACACCAACTTTTAGACTCGCAGCGCTGCGGCGGCTGATTCCGAAAAACAGAGATTTTGTCATTTGCTGTCTCTCTCACACTCGTTGGGTGCTGCGAAGGGGTGCGATAGAGACAGAGCGGCCACACTGTCCGGGCCGCGGGGCGATATCGTAATGACGGCCTGCCGGGCATCGCACCTCATCGATATCGCGACGCGTGGCGGGGCCGACGGGGCTGGCTGCGTTAACGCGTTCGATGAGCCTGTACAACGATATGGAAGGCTCAGAGGCAATCACAGTAATTAAAGCTCATCCAGGAATCTCTTTCGTGTAGCGGGCCCGGGGGCAGCGCGCTGCGGCGGCGGCCAGGCAACCCGATAGCGGGGAAGGGGAAATCACCTCCAAAGAATCTCGAAAATCAATCAATATTACGCGCAGAACGCAGTGCCGCCACCGCCGCGGATGACAAACACATTCTGGATTGAGGTTCCCGCGGTGGATCGGCCTTTCGCGGTTCGTTCGGAGGCTCCGAAAAGAAAGGGCCGATTCGGTATGCAATATATATATTAATTAGATGGTGCGTGAGGAAAAGCAGCTGAGACGCGCCCAGGGGCCGCCCCTCCCCCTCGACGGGCTGCCCCTCCACGGGACGTACCTCCACGGTACTTCCCCCTCTCCCCTCCCCCTTCTATTGCTTCTAGCGAAGTATGACTCACGATGAAAGTGCCCCCCACCCCTTCCTTCCACCTTCCCTTCTCCCTAGCTCCTTCTCCCTGCTGCTTCATTCTCTTTGATTCTTTTTCGATACGATGTTTTTTTCTTGTTGGTCACCGTGTCTTATTGCTTTGGGGCACTGCTGTAGGTGTCGCCTTTATCTACACATCTCCTTCCTTCGAGCGTTGCTTCGTGCCTGTATAAAGACTGTGTGAGTGCGTGAGAGAGAGAGAGAGAGAGAGAGAGAGAGAGAGAGAGAGAGAGAGAGAGAGAGAGAGAGAGAGAGGCAGACAGACAGACAGACAGACAGAAAGAGTGTATGTGTCCGTGTACAGGGGCATAGCGCTTGCGTTTGTTGGATTATTCGTTGCGAGGAAATTCAGTAGATTTGGCCCTTGCCTTCCTTGGAATGCGAGCGCAACGCACAGGAAGGGAACTAATCGGTCAGGTGCCTATCACGCGTCCGTCAGCGAGGTGGTGGCGGCGGCGGGGGC